GCAGGCGCGGCCGGTCGGGCAGAAGTTTCCCCCTTCCTAGGCGCGGCCGAGTCGCCGAGGCCACGTCCGATCGGGCCAAAAGCAGAGACGAGTCCTGCTCGCTCCCAAACGGCCGTTTTCCCCTTCCGCGCATCGCCACAAATATCCTTCCTCCCGCTGCTCCTCGGCGTGGTCGATCGCGGGCGGAGATCCGGGAGGGGAGATGGCCAAGAACGCAGGAGGGGTGCTGCTGCCGGTATCCGCCGAGCCGGGGAAGGGCGACGGCGAGGCCGCGCTCTTCAAGGGCTCCGCCATGACCCGCCGCGGCGCCGTCGCCGCGCTCTCCTACATGTCCTGCTCCGGTACGCGCCTCGATCCGCGCCCTCTCTTTCTCTGCGCGTCTGTGGTGTGGCGTCGAATTGGCGCCTTGTCTGTGTGATTCCGTTCACGGCGGCGGACGGGTGGCTCGTTTTGCGTGAGGTCGGGAACAGGCAGCGTGCGGTCGGCCCTTGTGATTTGCTGCTAATCGTCGCCAACTCGTTGCTTCCGTTGGCCGTTATTCAGCTACTTGGGGTTGGAGTTAGTGCTGGCTGGTTGACTCGTGTCTAGCTAACTCAGCCGTGCGTTTGTATGAAACCATTTTAGTACTGCTACTTCGGTTGCCACAGGGATATGGGCAAAGTACATACTGCTCAGTAGGTATTCACCAGCAAGAGCTACTTAGACTTGGAGATGGTCTAGCATTAGTAAAAACTGGTTGTTTTTACTATGTATTTGTATTTGAGTGCTAGAACTAGAAGGACTAACTGTCTCAAACACTGCTGCACAATTATGCTGTAAGATGATCGCAGCGCTCTGTTACATGTCCTGCTCCGGTACGTGCCTCGATCTGCGCCTCTCTTTCTCTATGCGGTTGTGCTGTGGTGCAGAATTGGCGCGTTATCTGTGTGAGTTCGGGAACGGGTAGCATGCGGTCGGGCCTGGTGATTGTTGCTAATCGTCGCTAACTTGTTATTTCCGTTGGCTGTTACATCCTTTATTCAGCTACTTGGGGGTTGGAGTTAGTGCTGGTTGGTTGACTTGTGTCTAGCACGAAACCATTTTGGTACCGCTAGTTCAGTTGCCACAGGTTATACACAAAGTACATACCGCTCAGTGGGTGTTACCGTAGGTATTCGTCAGTAAGAGCTGCTTAGACTTAGTAAAAACTGGTTATTACTGCCACATATGTATATTTGAGTCTAGAAGGGCTATCTATCTCTCAGAAACACAATTCAGTAAAGACAATCTCATTTGGCTTGTCGAGTTCCGCAGCTAGAGGCGCTCCATAGCCGTTAGGGGTAGGCACTAGCGTGGAATATCTCTTTGATAGATATCTAGTGTTGTATTCCTTATTGTGTAATTGGCTTGTTTGCCACTTCTATGAAATTGATATGCCATTCCATGGTGTATTCTTGAAAAAGACACATTTGGCTTGTAGTAAAGGTCACAGCGGCGGATATGTCAAATATAATCATGATCAACTTGGTGGTGTAATTTATACAACTAACTGTGCTGGCTCTTGTGGATCCGACAAAAGTATGTTGCTTGTTTTCTTGTCATGGCTTTGCGAATCTCTTAGGAGGCGGTGGCGCTGCTGCTCTCTTCAAGGGTCCACAATGATGACATGCCGCAGCACCTCCATCGCGCTCTCCTACATGGTCATCATTGATACGTCAACCCACTTCTTTTTTCTTGTTTGGTTTTAGATGCAGTTCTATGTGGCATGAATTGCATGCTTTGGTCATCATGGGGTAGCTCGTTCAGTGCACTGTAAGAATTTGGAGATAGAATGTTGGTACTGGTACGGTCTTGTGATGTAGCACTAGTTGCAGTTTGTTTCTGTCAGGCATTACTTCTGTTACTGAGGTGCTTGGGGTTGGGATGGGAGCTGGTATGTTGACTTCTATCTAACTGCTCAGCAGAGCTTCAAGTAGGAATCATTTCGATAGTACCTACCAGGGATACAGGATTTCTGTTGTATTGAGGAAGAATTTTACCCTGCTTGAATGGAGACTTTGATGAAAACTAGTAAATGCATACGATTCACGTTCATATTTGGTAGAATATATTTTTTGTGGGATATTTTGTAGAATATTAATTGCACCGCTGATGTTAGGTAAGGTATTAATTGCATGATAATTATGTGATTAGTGCTGATATTGATATTCTGTATAATATTTATTGCACGCTAAACATGTTGAGCGCTCGCCATTGAAGCAATCTAGGTCGTTGGATTGACATGAATTGATGGCCGAGAATAGTTGGATCTGCCCTTTGGGTCCTTTTATATTTGTATATGTATATATATGTATAGATGAATTTTTAATACAACACACATACATCTTCTAACCTTGTATGTCTGAAATCTGTCCAAATTGCTGTAGTGTCATGGTAAGAGAAAGCAAATTCTGATGGGCCCACTTACAAAAAAAGGACAGAGAAAATAGAACTTTGAAAATCCCTTGCCATTTAGATAGAATAATAAAGTGGATAATAGAATCATTGCCAAATTATAATTGCGAATGAAAATTTCTTGATTTTTTCTGAAATTGTTCCTATTTATCTTTTATCTTCTGAGAAGCATTACAAACTGGTTTCCGCACAGCAACTTCCTGATGACATTTCTGTTTCTATTCTTTATGTTGTGGAAGTCTTGAATTCCCTTGCTAATACTTTTTACAATGTGCAGTTTTGCTGGTGATGTTTAACAAGGCGGCTCTATCTTCATATAAATTCCCTTGCGCGAACGTCATTACACTCCTTCAGGTGCTTCATTCTGTGTGGACATATTCTGGACAGTCTGTATTGTTAAATACCCTCTTCTCATTGTAGTCCATCCATATCCTTATTTTTCTGAATAACTGTAAATTCACCCGACAGAGTGTATAAATGTTTTGTGCCCACGTTCTGTCCGTTCAACAGTAAAAAAACTGTACTAGACTATCTGTGACCTGCTTGTGGTCTTGGAAAGTAATGATAGATTTCCAAAAGCTACATACTCTACTTCTAATTCATCTAGTTGAAGAATGTTCACTTTCTTATTGGAGCTGTAGACAATGGGCCTGCTATGAATTGCAGCTTGTTAAATATTACAGTGATATAGTTGTCGGTGTATTGCGACTTACGTAATATGTACTAACTTTCTTTAGCTGTACAGCTCTGTTGGCTGAATTTGTTACTGTATGATATGTTTGGTCCTGTCTTTCCTTTCTGACACCTAATTAACATGTGCAGATGGTGTGCTCAACGTGCCTTCTCTATGTTCTGAGACGGTTAAAGATCATTTCTTTCACAAATAGTGAAACATCAGTACCCTCTGATTCACTATTCTTTGTGCCGTTCAGAATACTGCTGCGCACTTCACCGCTTTCGCTGTCTTATTTGCTCTACATGGTATGCTTATTCCCTCGCACACAATTACAGCCATGAGCTGCAAATATGGAAATTGTTGCTGTTTACTTTGAATTCTGAATGATGCTTACCTTCCATGATGGTTTGCTAAAAGCTAGCTTCAATGGAATCTGTGCGTGGAGTAAATGTTCCTATGTATACAACTCTAAGGCGCACAACAGTAGCATTTACAATGACAATGGAGTATTTCTTGGCAAAGCAGAAACACACCCCACCTATAATTGGCAGGTAAATGTTCAGGCATGTTACTTTACTTTGCATTTGTACTCTCAAAATTGAAGTACATGTGCTAGCTAGCTAATATGAGCCTCTATTTGTGCAACAAACTCCTGCCTTAGCCACAGTCAAACATATATATTAACTCATTAATTCTATTTTATTTTGACTGCCTGTCATATCTTTAGTTCATCAGTAGTGGTCGAATCTGCTTGTTGCTCTTATCATTATCAAGCCTTGTAATAAGGTATCAGAATTCACATTCATGTAGTCAACTTAGTGGACAGTATGGTTGTAGCTTGCAACATGGTGATCCTTGTGTTTCATTATACTGCATTTTTCAGAACATAGTTGCTTTCTCAATCTGCCATACTCCTCTTTCTGGTTGCTAACCAACTGTTTATCAGTGTCGCTTTGATTGTATTCGGAGCATTTATTGCTGGGGCTCGAGACTTATCATTTGATGCTCGTGGGTATGCCATTGTCTTCGTCGCCAATATAACTACAGCTGTTTATCTTGCAACTATAAATCGTATTGGTAAGCACCTTCCTTTTTGCCACTTATTATATGTCAATCAAACTTGCAAAAATTTCTAATCAACACTTGTTTTGTTCTTTTAGGAAAATCTAGTGGGCTGAATAGCTTTGGCCTGATGTGGTGCAATGGTAGCATCTCAAAGACCTGTACCACTAAGATTCAACTTCATACTTCACACGTCCTAAATATATATTCTGCTTATCTGGATTTCAGGACTTGTTTGTGGACCTGCAGTACTGTTCTTGACATATATTCAGGGCGACCTCAAGAAAACTATTGAATTTCCCTATCTTTATTCCCCTGGTTTTCAGGTATATGCGACTTAAATTTTGAAATTAATGCTAATTTGATTATCCGAGGCATCTAAAGACTGCAGTACTTGGGGATGCGCATCACAATTTTTTACTAACAAAAACACAATCTTGTTGCCTGTTTATTGACTTCACTGGAGATGCTTGAATCTCTGTATATTTGTTCGCAACTAACCAGTTGGTGTTGAGGGTCGAGCTTTGACTGACACACTAGCTCGTGAGGCATTATTTTGTTCCTTCCTACCATTTCTGTGATCTTACCCAATAACGTACTGAGTTACTGACCCAATCCTAGAAAATAGTTCGGATCATACACACTGTTTCACTCGAGCCAGTGAAACCCTTGCACTATTATATTCACATATTACCATGTTTTAGTCCACTGTTCTTGATTTCTGGTTGATTATTATAGGTTCTTAAATCTTCTTGGTTGCTGATTAATCTTACTCCTGACTTATCTCTATAGTATGCCTAGTTCATTGCAGTTAATGTTTTGTGGATGCTTCTAATTACTCTTGAAAGCAAGGGAAAAAAAATCATACTCCCTCCGTTCACTTTTGTAAGTCGTTTTAGACAAGTCAAAATGGGCCGTTTTGCACATTGTCTGAAATGTCTTCAAGGTCTTATAAAAGTGAACAGGGGGAGTATTTATTTATGTTATAGTTGACATGAAGGTCTTGGGATTGCTTTATGTGTTTATATTGTATGTTAATTTTTTAAGCCTCATAATTTATTTTTCCTGGGATAGCTAGGGCCCATAGGTATCAATCATTTTGACGTAATTCCATTTGTAGGTGGTGCTGCTATTTTCATGTGTACTAGCATTTCTATTGAACTACACCATCTTCTGGAATACAATCCTGAATTCTGCACTTACACAGTCAATGTGTGGCAATTTGAAGGTATGGTCTCCATCCAATTCCTCCACGTGACTCAACATGCGTAGTATTTTGAAATCTTCTTCATGATGCTATTTCTGCAGGATTTCTTCACTGTTGGACTTGGCTGGGTACTCTTCGGCGGGCTTCCTTTTGATCTGGTGAGTTTAAGCTTGTTGCTCGGCCACAATTAGCTCTTCAATTTCCTTTCCTGAACACTGACTTAATTTTCTTTCTCATGGCAGCTTAATGTCATCGGCCAAGGGCTTGGCTTCGTTGGCTCAGGCATGTATGCCTACTGCAAGATCAAAGGAAAATAGATACTGATCTTTAAGGGACCAAAGGAAAGTAGATATTGATATGGGCAGTATGGCTTAACCAAAGTAGCGTTCATCATGCTGTTTGCTCCTGCATACGGGAGAGAAAATTTTGTAGGTTTTCCTGGGTGTACATTTATAAACTCCAATTCTCCTGGGTAGAACATGAATGAACTGCCATTGTTTGGCCAAGGAAATATAGAATACAACAAGATTTCAGCATCTCTGTACCATCGTTTTGTCTGTTCACATCTCCGTATTTGTCTGAAATAGATCACAACAAGATTTCAGCCGCCCCATCCATCCAAAATATAAGGTCCACAGCCACTATAATCAAGTAATAGATGTGTCGATTTTTTTCTATTTTTTGTGACTTTTAGAATTTATTTTTGATTTTTTCGAAAATATATTGTCTCACTAGAAACCAGGCTCCAAAATGCAACAGAAAATTTCCAATATATCACCTAGCAAGAGGCTATTGTCTCAGCGTTGGTGCAAAATATTACCCTCTTTGGCCCTGTTTGGATTGGATATATTTTTTCGTGTGCTGCCTGGTATTTAGTTCAAACTTGAGTTAAATACTGGAGAGCACACTAATTTTACACTCAATCAAAACAGGGCCTTAGTTTTGTTGGATGAATAGCAACTCTATTCTCAGGAGGGCCAAGGGCCAATACATATACAAGTGTGTGGTAAAGTGCAAGAGACCCCTTATACAATGGGGATTAACCGAAAAGGGGTATACACATCTAACACCCCCCCTCAAACTCATGGTGGGTCGACAACACTGAGTTTGGAGAGAAGAAAACTATGCTGCGCTCGAGTCTGTGCCTTCGTGAAGAAGTATGCCAACTGTAACTCAGAGGGCACATAGTGAAGAGCGAGAGTCTGATCCTGCACAGCAGCACACACAAAGTGGGTATCCATACCGATGTGCTTGCTTCACCGGGTCACGCGCAATACTGATAGCACCAGTACTGTCTGACAATAAAGGAGTCGATGTAGTAGCAGACACACCAAAATCCTCAAGTAGCCATCGTAACCAGATCACCTCAGCCGTCAGCATAGCCATGGCTCGCAACTCAGCCTCTGTACTCGAGCGAGAAACGGCAGTCTGTTTCTTTGTCTTCCAGGCAATAAGAGAGCCACCAAGAAAGACACAATAAGCAGACAGTGAGCGTCGATCAGAAGGATCACTAGCCCAGGTAGCATCAGAGTAGGCCTGCAGCTCAAGAGAGCTGGAGCGGGGAAAGAAAAGGCGCTGAGAGATCGTGCCACGAAGATATCGTAGGACACGGAGGAGATGACTATAATGGACAGAGGTGGGGGCTGAAACGAACTGACTCAGAATGTGAACATGATAGGAGATGTCAGGACGCGTAACAGCAAGATAGACAAGATTGCCAACAAGGTGACGATAGCGAGTGGGATTAGGGAGAGGGGCACCATCAGAGGCACGAAGCTGAACGTTGAGCTCCATGGGAGTGACAACAGTGCGCTCATCACCAAGAGCAGCGCGAGCAAGAAGATCCTGAATATATTTTTCTTGGGAGATGTAGAAGCCATCAGAGGTCGAAGAGATCTCAATCACAAGAAAATAGCGAAGTGGACCAAGATCAGTCATGAGAAACTGGTCACGAAGACGAGCCTTAACAAAGGCAATGTAATCAGAGTCATCACCAGTGATGATCATGTCATCAACATAGAGAAGGAGAAGAGTCCGACCACGAGGAGACGTGTGAACAAACAACGCTGGATCATGATTACTGGGCAAGAAACCAGCAGCAGTCACCACAGTGGCAAAGCGCTCAAACCAGGCGTGAGGGGCCTGTTCGAGACCATATAGGGAGCGACGAAGTCTACAGACCATACCATCAGGAGCATAGTACCCCGGTGGTGGCTGCATATAAACCTCCTCACGCAACTCACCATTGAGAAAAGCGTTCTGAACATCAAGTTGAGAGATGGACCACTGACGAACAGAAGCCACATCAAGAAGAGTGCGGATAGTGGTCATGTGGGCCACATGAGCGAATGTCTCTTCATAGTTGCGCCCCTGCTCCTGCTGAAAACCACGGGTCACAAGACGAGCTTTGTAGCGCTCGAGAGAACCATCGAAGCAAGTCTTAATTTTGTAGACCCACTTGCAGGTGATGGGACGGACACCAGAAGGAAGGGGAACTAGATCCCATGTGCCAGAGCGCTCAAGAGCAGCAAGCTCTTCGGCCATCGCAAGTTTTCATTTAGGCTGATTCATGGCAATCCGATAGGAAGTGGGCTCAGCAATAACAGAGAGATCGTACCAATCAGGAGAGTAGCGATTAGGCGGGGGGCGAGGCCGAGCACGGAGGTTGTGAACCGGGGGAGGCGTGGGAGGTGCAGCAGAGGTGGAAGGCTCGTCAGAGAAGACATCGTCAGTACGAGAGCGACGAGTATAGTGGAGAGGAAACGGGGAGAGAGGACGACGGACTGGAGAAGATGGTGGAGAGGTGGAGGAGGAAGAAGGAGAAGACGAGGTCGATGGTGAATGAGAAGGAATGAGAGGTGCCGGAGGAAGAGGTGACACAAGAGGCACGTAGCGAGGCGTATCGGGAAGGAGAAGGAAGGAAAGGTCGTCGACAGAGAAACTCGAAGAAGAAGAACGTGGGTAGTAAGAACGAGACTCGTCAAAAGTCACATCAAGCGAGATGCGCAAGCGACGACCTACAGGATCCCAACATCGATAGCCCTTGTGCTCATCACTGTAGCCAAGGAAAACACACTCAACTGACTGAGCAGTCAGTTTGGTGCGTTCTCGGGGGGCAAGAAGAACATAGCACACACATCCAAACATACGAAGAGCTGAGTAGTCAGGAGAGCGACCAGTGAGACACTCCATAGGAATACCACCCTGAAGAGCAGTCGATGGCTGAATGTTGTTGAGATAGGCGGATGCTGAAACAGTCTCGCCCAAAAATGGGGTGGAAGGGAAGCAGCAATCATGAGCGCACGAGTCGTCTCAAGCAAATGATGATGCTTGCGTTCGGCAACGCCATTCTGAGCATGAGCCCCAGGACATGAGAACTGAGCAAGGGTACCCTATTCTGCTAGAAAGCCACGCAACAACTGAGAGATATACTCCCAGCGGAGTCAGCACGAAAAGTACGAATGGACGTGGCAAACTGAGTGTGAACCATGGCAGCAAAACGTTTGTATATAGAGAGAACATCGCTACGAGATTTCATGAAGTAGAGCCAAGTGTACCGAGAGAAATCATCAATAAACAAAACATAGTAGCGATGAACACCTTTTGAATCAAAGGGAGCAGGACCCCAGACATCAGAATGAACTAAGTCAAACGGATGCTGAGATACTGACTCACTAGTAGGATAAGGTAACTGAGTCTGTTTGCCAAGTCTGCAACCATTACAATGTAAGGACACATCTCTAGATACAGACCCTAAGAGGCCCTGGCGAACTAAATAAGACAAGCGAGAGCCACAGATGTGACCAAGGCGATAATGCCACTGCTGGAAGGACGCAGACGAAGATGCAGCAAGATCATGGGAGCTGGCAGAAGTGATGGCAGCGGAAGGAACACAAAACCAGTCAACCTCCCAAAGGCTCTCTGACTCACGGCGCCGAGGGCCAGCACCAACCAAAGCCTTGGTGCGACGATCCTGAATGGAGCAAGAGTCGATATCAAGAATGACACGACAATCAGAATCAGTAAGTTGGGCAGCGGAAAAAAGATTCATGGTAAGACGAGGAACATGAGAAACACTCGGAACAGAAAAGGACGGAGTGGAAAGAATACCACGACTAGCAACAGAAAGAGATGTGCCATCGGCAGTAAGAATATTAATAGGCGAATCGAGAGGTCGAAGAGAAGACAACGCGGAAGAATCAGAAGACATATGAAAGGAAGCTCCAGAATCTAGAACCCACGAGGATGTACCTGGCTGTGTAGATACCGGTGATGGTGAGGAGGGGGATACAGTCACAGCAGCAGCGGAGCCAGTCAATGAGGAGCCCGAGGAAGCAAGAAGACGCTTGAGGCGAACAATGTTCTGGTCAGTGAGTGACGGAGTCGAGGAAGACACAGGAGTCCCACTGAAAGAGGAGTGCCGCTGGTCTCGCTTCTTCTCACGGCAATCAGACTCTGGGTGACCGGGCCAAGAGCAGTAGCCACAGAAGGTGTCACGGCGCGACCGGGCCTGCTCAGAATAAGCAAGGCGACTCACCCCCTGAAGGTGTGGGGAGGAGCGGTGGAGCGGTGAGCCGAGCAGACGACACAGGAGCCCGAACAGCCAACACAGACGGGACCACCAGCAAACCAGCAGAGCGAAGGCGGGTCTCCTCAGCACGAAGCTCAGCAAGCACCCCCGAGATTGGAACACGACCACGAGCAAGTAAGTGAGCACGTCTGGGCTCAAACTCAGAGCGGAGACGAGATAAGAACTCATGGACCCGCTGAAACTCCAGATCAGACCGAGTAGTCTGACAGCAACGACAGGTGCCGCAAACAATTGTCTGAAGAGAGTCAAGCTGACGCCAGATGGCAGAGCACTGTGTATAGAACTCATCAACAGAGGAATCACCTTGCTGAAGGGCATGCTCCTGACGCACCACAGAGAGATAGAGAGCATCACCAGAGGGCTGATAGCGCTGACAAAGATAAGACCACATCGCTGCAACTGTGCCAAGTCCCATGAACTCGGAGGCAAATTGAGGGAGAACACTCACAGTGAGAACAACAGCAGCTCGAGCATCATCATTGCACCACTGAGTGTAAGCAGACAGATCATCTCGGTACACAGAGAGAGCATCGGAATAAGAAGATACCTGCTGATCATAAGCATCAACCGCAACATCATCCAGAGCCTTGGCAGCATCCCGGTCAGCCTGAGAAGCATCAGCAACAAGGACCGGCTGCACTGGTGGGATTGGGGCCACTGGCGCAACCGGGCATGGCGGACAAGGGACCTTGCCAGAGAGAACACCCCACAGAAAAAGGCCACGCATATGAATGCGCATGAAGCCCACAAACTCAGCATAGTTGGTGCCATCGAAGATCACCGAACAGCGAGGAACAGCAACATAGCCCGAAGAGGACATGGCAAACTTGCTGTTTTTGTTTGGAGTCAACTGCTCAAGATTTGATCTGGATCGAGGAAGCGGCAGAAGCGCGAGCCCTCACGTACGAGCGACAGGGAACAAGGCCCAAGGCCCAGCCAGAGCGAGCGAGGCAGGAGCACCCGGCCGAGCAGGATACAGGCGCGGGACGGGCTGGCCCCGAGGAGCTGGCCCCGGCTGGAGCGAAGGAACCATGCGGCGGCGACCAGCCCGCAGGGAGCAGCGGACAGGACGGGGTTGGTGGGGGTCGGGGAGGCCCGATCCGCGGCGAAGACTGCCGGATCCGCGGTGACCGGGACCGAGCTCAGCTTGGTGCAGGGGCGGCCGGCCGGTTAGGAAACACCGGCGACCGGGCCGATCCTGGCAGCAGACGAGACGGGGAAGCCGGGGGAAGCCTAGGGCGAGCCGGGCAGGAGACGGGCCAAGGGCGACAGGCTCCACGACGAGAGAGAGCAGCGGCAGCCGGAGGGCAAGATCGGGGAGGAGCTAGCACGGAGTTGCAGCGTGCGGGAGAGAGGGGAACATAACATTTAATACCATGTTGGATGAATATCAACTGTATTATCAGAAGGGCCAAGGGCCAATACATATACAAGTGTGTGGTAAAGTGTAAGAGACCCCTTATACAATGGGGATTAACCGAAAAGGGGTATACACATCTAACAAGTTTCAAATTATATGACATTCTAGTTTTGTCCTAAATCAAACATTCTTAAGCCGGACCGAGTCTATAAAAATATCATTGCTGTACATATAAGCATATGTGTTGTAGATTTGGTCAAATAATATAGAGAATTTGAAATGAGATGTGTTCATACTTGATGAAATGCGCATCACCCAATTCGCGATTTAAGAACACAAACAGAGAGATACTGACCTTTCTCACATCTGCAACTAAATTTGACTTAGGGAAAAGCTAGAACTTCAAATAATTTGAAATGTAGTACTCCCTCCGTCCTATAATATAGGACGTTTTTTGATACTAGTGTAGTGTCAAAAAACGTCTTATATTATGAAACGGAGGGAGTATATCAAAATGCACAAGTTTAACCAATGTGTCATTCTAACTGGTGCCAAGTTATTGCCGATATTACAACTACCTAATTGCTTATAATGCACTTTCAGCACACGGGAGTATCAGATCAGCGAACATAACTACTGAACATGCAACAGCTTATTGTGTCGTATAGGCCAATACCTTTCAGAAGAATACATATAAATTCATATTGAAACTAGTGGAACAAAATTTGTATAGCTTTAGAAAAGCTCAAAGGTCCTTGCTGAGCGAACTTATGTCTAGAGCCTATATAAGCCGACACAACTAACATTTCTGAATAGCTCAAACCCCACATATTCTCTGGAAGATACGACACGGCTTCTATCTACCACAGGCCACCTCATCCAAAATTACTCAGTTGGCTTGTCTGGGTCATCTTCCTCAGGATCCTCCTTGTCAGGATCATCCTCCTGCGGTTCTTCTTGAGGTTGTGCCTCTTCCTCTTCTTCTTCCTCATCATCATCCAATGGATCATCAGCTGGTAATGGATGGGGCAATGGTGTTTTCATAGGGCTGAACTTTGGGAAGATGTCAGGTCTCCTCCCAGGCTTAGGTTTCTCCCATTCCTGCAAATGTGTGATAAGACAGTGACCATCAGCTTCAGTGCCAACACAAAAGAAGAACGTCTGATGGAACATCTTTAAATAATTAACTACACCCTCTGTAAAGAAAACGCTCTTATATTTCTTTACGGGGGAGTACTCTTTTTTAGAGATTGTCCTACAGAAATCTTGCTACAGCTTAGACAAATCACACATGAAAATTGACAGTTATCAATGTGAAACACTGCAAATAAATAAATGGCAGGTTATAACCATGATAAATGTCACCGCGCAGCTCAGCAAGTCCGCAGAACAATAAAATGAAGGTTTGCCTCAAAATATGCAGGAGTCGCATTCAACAGTCACGGAATGGAACACAATTGCAAGCAAAAACAGAAAGGTAACATGAACACAATTTGAATTTCACCTTAGGAAAACTTATAAGTGTCCCCTATCAATTTACCATGAAGATGTTCTTCCACTATTTTTATCCTAAATGATTAGGGCATCTACAGCACCCTAGTATCACACTAAATTTATTTGTGCTTGAAACAAGCAAATATAGAACAAGTCTTAGATCAGTAGGCCATATATTTCAAAACTTGTTTGTAAGAAATTAGATTGTTAGCATCATGACAACGAGACACCAGCTAGAAAATGGAAAGTTCCTGCAGAAAGCGATCTAATAGGCCGTCTGATCCCTAAATAACTACTGTCTGATTGTTTTAAATACAAGTACGACTCAAGACAAGCATTCAGTGGACGCACACATTTATTTTGGAACGATTTTGGCATTTGAACCTCGGTTTGCACAACTCCAACCTAGGTGGAAACCTTCAAAGTATCTTATCATACACGCTATACATATTGTTTCAGTGTGCAAGAGCACCATCTACAAAACAATCTACAATGTCCTAACCTCACATCATTGTTTGAACTCATGCAACTCAGGTCCGCTCCTAAAATGCAACAATGATGAAACCGTGAAGCCACCATAACGCAGCTCCGGTACAGTTATGTATATATTTCCTCGCATGAAGATCTTTAAATAGAACTCCAAGCTAACATTTCTACAATACGCAAGAACGATGAGACTAGGATGCCACTAATTATCTACTAAGAGCATCTGTAATATCCACAAGCACAAACAAACGTGCATCTGAAGTTGCCCTGTCCAATCAAAAGAACTCAGGTCCACTCTAAGCTAACATTCCTACTGATTTCACCCACTCTGAATACCTAAAACCTCATAATCCGGGTGTAGTAAGCTAAAATGACCAAAAAATTCTGAACCGGAGAATTCGGTTCACCATGAGAGGAATAGCAAAATGACTACAGGCGGGAAAGGGCGGAGAAGGATTACGATGGGGAAATCGAGGGGCGAGCGCCGCGTAATCTTCTCCTCGTCGGGGGCCACGCACACCACGAGCGAGTCCCACCTGCGCCGCGTCCTCGCAGGGACCGCCGCCCGCGCGGCGAAGACGCCTCTGGATTCGGAGGCGGAGACGCCGAGAGCGCCCGGCGCCGCCACCGGCGCGGCGGCCGGCGCCAAGAGGCACCACGCGGACGCCATGGGGAGAGGTCAAGAGAGCTTAAGGGTAAGGCGCTTCCGGCTTAGGGCTCTCCTGGGTGGAGGCCGGAGAGGTAGAGAAGTCGGGATGGAATTTGGGTTTCCCCGTGTGGTTTGGTCGAGTTGCGGCGCCTACCACGCTGTTACCGGCGGCTGTCTCGCCCTCGAGTGATAAGAGTCGGTGCGGTCCCGTTTCAGCTGAGCTGAGCTGAGCTGGCGGACGAATGTGTGAACTGTGAGCATGGCCAAAAACAAAACAAAAACAGACCGCCCGGTGTTTACTATGTTCAATATATGTTATCCCTTTTTCGAATATTAAATTGAAAATATACATATGCAAAATCTGTTCCACTATACGTAGACCAGCATATATTGTCGTCTCCAGAAAAAAAATCATCGATAATGACATGTAGGAACTCTGAAGACAAACGAAATCCAATCGAATCCAAACGAATGCACCGAAACCTAAACCTATTGAATCTTGGAAGACTAGCCAGAGACACGACTCCACACGCGCTCCACTGGAACAAAACACACCAACGAAACAAGGATGGTATTAGAATTAATCTAAGGTGCATATCGATTTACTGAGTATCAAGCAATCGCACAAGGCACGACACCATGATTTCATCGAACATCGGCTACATCCCTAGGGCCTGACTATGGACGCTTCTCTCCGTTGATACCGCTATAATATCACACACTGGCCACCCGAACGCTGGCATGTGTCGTCAGCTCTTCTTGAGTGTATGTGTTATGATGTTAACATAGGTTACATCGTGTGTCTACCCCATGTTATATATGAAGCCTAGGATATGAGTGTCCTAATTAGGACACAACTCCTTGCCATGTTTACACATAATACGACTCCAAGTCCAGCCGTAACCTACCTTATACACAATTCTCGACATAGCTCTATTAAACTTCACATAGGCGAATATTTTCCACCACCTTAAATTCGTCCACACGTCAAACTTCTATGTACACTGGACTTGAGTTACACCATGAGTATGGCTGCTATTCTCAGACTTCATGTGACTCCACCAGCAACTTCTAACCCCTTTTTTTCCCGATCATAGTCAATACTCAAGCAAAATTAAGTACCCCTTTACTCTAGTATGCGCTCCCAACTTTCGGATTATTCGTTCAACGTCATCACACACTGATCACTGACTTGCGTGATAGTGAATAACTCACATATTACATGCCACACATAAGAGTTACATGAACTCAACATCCTTACTCCTTCTTGACCACCTGTCTTAAATTTGAAGGAATTTCATTGTTGCTAGTCATCTTGAGTCAAATTCACGGTTGATACCAAAGCCCTGGTTTGTCTCCCTATCCTGTGCTAACCACACACCTCGTCAGTATCACCCCGTCGAGCCTCTGCTATCTCGGTCAAGTCTCCTGGGTAGCTAACCTGCACTGCCTCAACTCCTACTTTAGAGTACCATCGATCATCAGCAACCGATGACGAGGTATACATATCCCTTGGACCACTAAGCTCCAACCGAACAACGTGTCTCTCGCTTTTTCAGTTGAATAGGCGATACTTCAACGTGTCTACTTTTCCAAACACTTTTGCTTGTGTTTGGCCTCTAATTTGCATGATTTGGATGAAACTAATCCGGACTGACGTTGTTTTCAGCATAACTGCCATGGTATTGTTTTTGTGCAGAAATAAATTTTTTTCGGAATTGGATAGGGATTTTTGGAGAATTATTTTGGAATATATAAAAATACTGGAATGAAGAAGTACCACAGAAGAGCCACATGGGGCCCACAAGGGCAGGGGGCGACCACCAACCTGGCCGAGCCACCCAGGCTTGTGGGGCCCCTAGACCTCGTCTGGACATAATTCCAGTGCTATAAAAAATTCACATCCTTCTAGAAGAAAAATCAAGAGAATAGTTTCGGGACTTTTCGCCGTCGTCTCGAGGCGGGACTGAGGTAGGAGCACTTTTTCTCTCCGGTGGAGCAATTCAACCAAGGATACTTCCCTTCGAGAGGGGGAAATCGAAGCCTTCATCATTACCAACACTCCTCTCATCATGGGAATCATCATCTTCATCAACACCATCTCATCTCCAAACCCTAGTTCATCTCTTGTGTTCAATCTTTGTAGCAAACCTAAGATTACCACCTGGAGGTGCTAATAGTGTTGATTACATCTTGTAATTGATGCTTGTTGGTTTAAGAGAAAATTCCTTATTTGACACTATCTTAAAATTTGCTTCCTTATTTGACACTGGAAAAAAATTTCTTCCCTATTTGACACAAGTTCTAAATTTTATTCCCTATATGACATTTTCGTTCATTTTGAGCCTAAATGACACCTGAAAAGACTCTTTTGCCCCTCATGTGGTATGTGTGTGGGGGGCAATAGCGCACACACGCAGCACCGGTGCGAGGGCAGGAGCACACACGCAGCAACACATACACATGCACCAACACACACACGCAACAACACGCACGCGCACGTGCACACACACGCACACACACGCAGCAACACACATGCACGCGCACACACACGCAGCAACACACACACGCAGCAGCACACACGCAAGCAGCACATAGGCACGCAACAGCACACACACACACGCACGTACACACGCAGTAGCAAACACACACGCAGCGGCACACATGCACACACACATGCAGCAGTAGCACACATGTGCGCGTGCACCCACACACGCAACAGCACACACGCGCGCACACACATACTGCATGGGGGGCAAAATCGTCTTTTCAGGTGTCATTTAGGCTCAAAATGAACGGAAGTGTCGTATAGGGAATAAAATTTAGGACTAGTGTCAAATAGGGAAGAAAATCTTTTCCAGTGTCAAATAAGGAACCGAATTTTAAGACAGTGTCAAATAAGGATTTTTCTCTTGGTTTAATTGGTGGAGGACTATTATGTTCACATTGTCAATCATATATCTATACCCACTGATCATGATTACTGAGATGAGTTGCGAGTAGTTCTATTTGTTCTTGAGGACATGGGAGAAGTCTTGTTATTAGTAATCATGTGAAGTTGACCATCGTTCAATGTTTTGATATTAGGTTGTGTTGTTCTTCCTCTAGTGGTGTTATGTGAATGTCAACTACATGACACTTCACCATCTTTGGGCTTAGAGGAAGGCATCATGGAATTAGTTTGTAGATGGTAGGTTGCGAGAGTCACAAGTGCAGGCAGGTCCTATATAAACGGTTTTTACCCCTAATACATCCATTTTGCATCATGCTTTTATGTTGATATTTATTGCATTATGGGATGTTATTACACATTATATCACAATACTTATGCCTTTTCTCTCTTATTTTATAAGGTTTACATGAAGAGGGAGAATGCCGACAGCTGGAATTCTGGACTGGAAATGGAGCAAATATTAGAGACCTATTCTGTGCAACTCCAAAAGTCCTGAAACTTCACGGAGCATGTTTTTGGAATATATAAAAAATATTGGGCGAAGAAAATACCAGAGGGGGACCACCAGCCAGCCACAAGGGTGGAGGGCGTGCCCTACCCCCTGGGCACCCCCCGTCCTTGTGCCCCCCCCCCCTGGCAGGCCTCCGACGCCCATCTTTTGCTATATGGTGTGTTTTGACCTAGGAAAAAAATCAGAAGGAAGCTTTCGGGACGAAGCGCCGCCGTCTCGAGGCAGAACCTGGGCAGAACCAATTTAGGGCTCTGGCGGAGTTGTTCTGCCGGGGAAACATCCCTCCGGGAGGGGGAAATCGAAGCCATTGTCATCACCAATGATCCTCTCATCGAGAGGGGGTCAATATCCATCAACATCTTCACCAGAACCATCTCCTCTCAAACCCTAGTTCATCTCTTGTATTCAGTCTTGGTCCCAAAACCTGAGATTGGTACATGTGGGTTGCTAGTAGTGTTGATTACTCCTTGTAGTTGATGCTAGTTGATTTATCCGGTGGAAGATTATATTTTCAGATCCTTAATGATAATTAATACTCCTCTGATCTTATCATAAATATGCTTTGTGAGTAGTTATGTTTGTTCCTGAGGACATGGGAGAAGTCTTGTTATAAGTAATCATGTGAATTTGGTATTCGTTCAATATTTTGATGAGATTTATGTTGTCTCTCCTCTAGTGGTGTTATGTGAACATCGACTACATGACACTTCACCATGATTTGGGCCTAGGGGAAGACATTGGGAAGTAATAAGTAGATGATGGGTTGCTAGAGTGATAGAAGCTTAAACCCTAGTTTATGCGTTGCTTCGTAAGGGGCTGATTTGGATCCATATGTTTCATGCTATGGTTAGGTTTACCTTAATTCTTCTTTAGTAGTTGCGGATGCTTGCGAGAGGGGTTAATCATAAGTGGGAGGCTTGTGCAAGGAAGGGAAGCATCGGTCCACCCACATATCAAATTATCAAAGTAACGAACGTGAATCATATGAGCATGATGAAAACTAACTTGGCAACAATTCCCATGTGTCCTCGGGAGTGCTTTGCTTTATATAAGAGTTCGTCCAGGCTTGTCCTTTGCTACAAAAAGGATTGGGCCACCTTGCTGCACCTTAGTTACTTTATTTACTTGTTACTGTTACGATTTATCTTATTACAAAACTATCTGTTACCCACAATTTCAGTGCTTGCAGAGAATACCTTGCTGAAAACTGCTACCTCTTGAGCATGCGTTGGTTTTCCCTTGAAGAGGAAAGGGTGATGCAGCAAAGCAGCATAAGTATTTCCCTCAATTTTTGAGAACCAAGGTATCAATCCAGTAGGAGACCACAGCGAGTCACATCGTACCTACACAAACAAATAAGAACCTCGCAACCAACGCGATAAAGGGGTTGTCAATTCCTTCACGGCCACTTGCAAGAGTGAGATGTGATAGAGATGATAATAATAAGATAAATCTTTTTGGTATTTTTATGATATAAATTGGAAGTAAAGATTGCAAAGTAAAATAGATTGGAAACTTGTATGATGGAAAATAGACTCGGGGGCCATAGGTTTCACT